CCCCTCCCCCCTACGCCTCGCAGCCGCCCGCGGTCCGTCCTGGCGTCCCCGCCCGCCCGGTTCCCCTCGGTGCCGCCGGCAGGGAGGAGGGCCGGCCATGGTTCTCCCCTCAGCGCTGCCGGCGGGCCCGGGGTGCGCGCCCATGACTGTTTGCCCACCCGATACAACGAGCAGCGATAACTTGATGAACGAGTTTCCCAAGTGCCGTCGCAGCAGGTGTTAGTTGGCCAAGACATGGCAGCGGCCTGTGTCATGGCGGCGCAGCACGACAGGCCACGCTGGCGAGGGGCTTCGCTGAAGGCGGGTAAGCGCGTGCCTTCGTGCGACATGTGGCGCACGGGCGCCGTGTGTGTACAACGGAGCCTTGAGCGGTGTGGGTCAGGTTTGGATCCTGGGGGCAACTGGTTTGTGGCTGTGTGGAGCAGCCGCACTGCCGGTACGTCACTGTTTCTGTAGGAAAGGGTAAAGGTAGGTGGAGATTTCGGTGGAGCAGTGGGTCAAGGGGATGTTGTCATGGAGGCCCCTATCCCTTCCTGGCCGTTACGGCGCTGCCCTTCTCTGCAGAACAGCACTGGCACCAGCCAAACTGTTGAGCCAGCTTAATTGAAAAGAAAAGCTCGATTCCACAGATAAGCACGAAAAGACCAGGCAGATCTCTCTACTGGCTGAGTTAAAGCAATTTACGTATAGACAGAGAGGCAGCAACATCAGGGCTGCGAAGCTGGTGGCAATGTGTGCATGCCATTCTGCTGTGGAAGAAATTATTCCTATTTTTGGGAAAGAAGGGGGACCCACCAAGCTTTTCCAAGATCTTCAAGGGCTCCTTTCCACAATTAGAGCTTGATAGGAATTCTACAAAATGCTGTTCTCTGAGTCATTGCTGATTCATTAAAACACCTATTGTTGATCTAATTATGCACAAACCTGCTGCAGAAAGTGAATTTGCAGAAACCAGATGCACAAGGGCACATTTATCCCAATTATGAGTAAAATAGAAATAATAGTAAGTTTAGCTTGACCACATCATGAGGTCTCTATTAACCTTAAGCACATGAAGAAAATAGAAAGGAAGACAGGTCAGATTACTAAGAATAAGAAAAAAAAAGACTAAAAAACGTATGCTGCAAAACAATTGAACTATCAAAAGCTATCAGATAAAAACTGCTCTGTAAGTATATTCATACTGAGAAGAAGACAGGGAAAAAGATTAATCCCCTTCTCAACAGAGAAGAAAATCTGTCAACAAATTACAAAAAGTTTAAAGTGATTAGGGCCTTTGTTGTATCAGATTTCCAAAAAAGAACACCTGCAAGCACATAGTTAGAACTGGCGATGCAGACAACAAAATTATCTCAGCCCAGAGTAGGTAAAGAACAGATTAGAAGCACTCAGATAAACCAAACGTTTTCAAATTGTTTGAATCTAGTCAACATGATTGAAAGACAGTTAAAGAACGTGCTGAATTAAGAAGGTGAATGAGATGCTGAAAAAACAGAAGGGGCAACTGTAAATTGCTGTTTTCAAAGCAGGGGTGGAGCCAGAGAAACACAGCTCCATCAGTGTAATTAACTGAAATCCCTGGAAAAATAATGGGACAAATAATCTCACAAACTATTATTAGCACCTAGATGATAGGCAGGGAATGATAGCAGTCAACATGGATCTATCAAAAATAAATCATGCCAGACAACTTGATTTTCTCCTCCAGTAAGGAACAGGCCGTGTGGATAGGACAGAGCCTGTTGTCAGTTTGATTAGGGTTTTGACACTTACATGACCTTTTCATTAAAAAGTTAGAGAAATATGGTCTGGATAAATGTATTATAACTTCTGTACAAAACTGACTGGATAGCAAGTAGTAGTTCACTGGCAAAATGAAAGAATATATTGCTGGGTTCCTAGAGCCTGTCTTCGGTCTGGGTCTTTTTGTTATTAAGGTAAATAGCAGAACAGAGGACATACTTACTAATATTGCAGGTGACACAAAGCTGAGGGGGACAGAATTAAATTTTAAAATAGTCTTGACCATTCAGAAACATGCTTTTTTAAAAAAATAAAGAAGATATTCAGTAAGATTGATTGAGTTGCAGCACAGTTCAGCACATTATTCTAGTGTAAGTCACCTGGTATAAACCATCACTGCCTTTCCTTTTCCCCTTGCTACCCATTTGCTCTCACACTGTCTTATGCTAGCATAAGCTTTTCTGGGCTATATGCTTGGCTGTATGAGGTAGCTGATTAACATTACAAGTATAATTCCAGAGGTAGTTGTAACCTGGAACGCTTTGCTGATCTGTATGATCCTACTTTGGGTCATGGCGATGGATGAGGCGACTTGCTGATTTCTTGTTTTTCTGTGATTTTCCACTTATTAGAAAGAAAGACCATAGTTGGTATAACACCGGACATCCTGGTATGATTGATATTTCTTTGCAACAGCACAATATCGTTAATTCATGTTCAGATTGTGATCCACTATAAATCTAAAAGATGTGATTCTCTGATCTTGATCTACTGTGTGGCTTAGGCACAGTTCCTTCATTCTCTCTGTTTCAGTTCCTTCAGCTTCTTTGAAAAACACTCTGAAATCTGTGAATAAGATTTATTATTATTGACCGAACGCTAAGCCATTGCTCTTTTCGGTTTGTTAACCATTTCTTCTCATCCTCTCACTAGGTAATGTAGGCTCTTACTGGGATCCATTGTAAACATATATATCTCCTATGTCAATAGAAATGGTTCTGTAAAAGCAATAAATTCCTGTAACTAAAATGTTTGCGCAAGAGCCTGAGGCTTGTTCTGGTATCTAACACGAGTTTTATTTTTCTTTCTGTGGATTCTTGAAATATAAAAATGGTGAAATCTAATGTTAAGTCATGCAGAAATGTGAGGACCATGAGTGTGCCAGTAGTTCTCAGCCACGCGGAGCAGCCTTGTGCGGGGCTCCTACTCGCAGGTCAACTGCCTGGGAGCTCTGTGTTAGCTCTGGCCTGGACCCCAGTCCTCCCCCAAGCTGTGCAGTTTGAAGACCTCTGTCCTCAGCTCTGTCCTTTGCTGTTCCGGACTTGTTGCCTGGGCTGCCCAGGCTGGCCTTGGAGATGACTTGTCACCCCTCATTTCTCTTACGATCATTAGACTCTCGACAGAAGCTGTCACCATCCCCACCCCATTCTGCTCTCCTGGCTTGGTGCTGTGGGACTGCACCCTTGTTGGCAAGGTCGCTGCCCCTACGCTTGCGTGGTCGCCCTTGGTTCCTGGATTGCCTGCCTTGGTGGAGCAGCCCTGCTCTTGATGCTCCCTGACAGCGTATGAAGTTCCAAGTCAGCTTATGGAACGTATCTTCCTCTGTAGAACAAAAGTCTGCATCTTATCTCTCCCTAATGTATCATTTGCAAATTCCATCTTAAGTAAGCCCGGAGGTAAAGGCAAGGCCTGAAGTCTTTATGTGGTAGATAATCATCAATAAGCATCAGCAGTTGAACTTCAAAGCAGAGGGACTAAAAGACCTTAATTCTTACTGGAAAAAGCATTTAAACATGTGCTTAGCTTAAGCCTGTCCTCAAATCCTTTGAATTTAGGTATATAAATTGAGACCTTTCCTCAACATCAAGCTCTATTGCTGTACATTAGAAATGTGACTCTACACATCAGTATGTGGTTACACCTGTAGATTTACTAGAAACCGTGTGTCCTTGTTGTATAGTTGTTTAAAAAAAAAAAAAAGGCAAAAAACCACAAACAAAATGAGCAGTGAAGTAAAATAATATTTTAAGTCTTGAAATGTTTCTGGTGAATAACAATATCACAGGTATAGCTGAAAACATCAGCAGAGTTACTTTAACAGTGGAGCTGTAATTTATCGTGCACTGTTATGCACAAAGTAATAAAACAAATTCGATGATTTATAGTTTATCAGAGTGTAGCTGATGGCAAAAGCACATTCCCCACGCTGTCCTCTGACACCAGTCTGTTGTTCTGGAGCTGATGCATCTCTTCAAAGCATAGGGAAAAGGGGTTTTATTCCTGTTTTCTGAAAGAAACCTGAAGCGTAAAGTGGTTGTGTCTTGTCTAATTTCCCATAGTTTGTGGCAGTCAGGACTGAACGACAAAAACTTTCCACCTTATTATATCTGTAACTCTTCCATTTTATCCTCTCTT